CATGAAAGAAATTACAAAGCATCATTTTTTACATTGTAGTTTTGCTCCATTTTTTTTTAAAATTTAATATTAACATTTCTCAATATATGTGATACATTTTATTTTCGAGTTCAAGAACACAATTTCGTTACTATGTGCAATCAAGTCTTTTTTTTTTTTCGAGAAATGACTCTATTTTACGACTTTAATATTTTACTATATTAATGACTCCAATATTTTCGTGCGTTTTCTGGCATAAAATTACAATAGTATACATAAATAAAATTACAATGATATTTTAAGTAATATTTAATTTATTGTTTTCTTTCATAAATAAATGTTTATTTATTAATAATATGGGATGTCCTTTTACAAACAACNTAAGAAATCAGACACAAAAACGTATTGTAAAAAATGAAGTAGATGATAATTTTAAAAGTTCGAATGTTAGATTGAACACTATTTAATGTTCTACAATATTAGCTCTAATATTAGAAAATAGGATTCAGAAGTTTAGCTTTTTCTATCACTGCAGTATTATATTGTATCTTTGTAATGTTAGATAATATCATTTTGCTACATCGGCGTAAAATATTTCAAAAAAAGAAATAAATTTAAAAAATATTACTAACAACTAGTACTAGCAAAACTACCTTCATAAAACCCCATATCGTAAATTTGTGAACTTTGTAAAATTCAAAAACAAATTTAAATTTATAAATCAAATTTCATTAAGTCAAACATTTAAGCAAGGTTAAATTGTAAACTTATTATAAATTGTAATTTTAATGAGTTAACCTGAATTCTGCTTAGCGCAGCTAATGTTTAACACCTGATCTGATAAAAATCAAAATAAATTTTAGTAAAAATAACAAAGCTTTAAAAAAAGAAGTAAAATGTTTTTAATTAATTATAGGTCATTTTTTATTTTATTTCACTTTTATTGTTGATTTTTAAATTTATGTGCAAATCAAGTAAATAACAATTAATTTGAAATTACATTATTTTAATAATTTTATAAAATACTTTTTAAAAATATTTCGAAAAAAAATTATTTTAAATAGTAAAATCTCTATAATTTAATTAAAAATTCTGCTTTAATCTGCCTGAAACTCAGAATCGCAAGGAAAAAAAAGAAACATAAGTTTAGTTCTGAGAAAAATGTAGTATAATTCAAATTAAAATTAGTTCACGAAAATGGTTTTTAGTGACGAATTGTAACTTTTGGTGGCGCCATCTATTATTTTTTATATGTAGCTCTGAAACAAATAATTCATAAAAAAAGAAAGAAAGAAATAAAAATAAATACTTGAAATTTATTTAGTTTCGACCATAACATTTTGTGACTCTGAAGATTCTTAAATAATATTTTTGATATCTAAACTTTAATTTAATAAATTATTTTTAAAACGGAGACAAATTTTTAAAAAATTACTGTGATGTGATAAGAAGCGCTCTTAAGTTACAATTACCATAATTGATTATAATTAAACTAACAATTCACATATTTTCTTTCTAAATTTTTAATTTAAGCTGACTGTTTAAACTATATTCCTTCAAATAAGAGAAAAAAATGAAACAACCCCCAATTTAATTTTTTTTTATTTCAGAAACTTTGGGCAAAACTACAGGAAGAACTCCCCTTGTGTTATTCGTCTGAAAGCGTGGCGGTGGACTATGGTAACTAATTCAAGCAGGGATGTGGGGTTACTGTTTAGGGCAGGTTTTGGTCAGTGAGAGAAAGGACCAGATAAAAACCTAATAAGATTTTTGTGAGGTTTATGTGTAAACCGTATAATTTTAAAACGAGATATGTGACCATCTGCTAGTTTTGGGGAGGGTTAGGGGGATAAAACCTCCTCCGAAATATAAATCCAATCCAGAAGACAATTTGTTAAAGGTTCTATGTACTAACCAACAATTTTACCAAAAAAATTTAGTTAACATTTAAATTTCGAAACCATTAAAAAGTAATAAATTTTGTACTTTATCAAAATTAGATTTGCACAAACATTTAATTGCATATAAGAATGAGACTGAAACACATAACATCTTTTTTTTACTATAAGTTGCCTTTAGTATCTAAATTTGTAAGTTGCCTTCAGTATATCGAAATTGGCAAGTTGCCTTTAGTATCCAAATTTATAAGTTGACTTTAGTATCCAAATTTATAAGTTGGATTTAGTATCCAAATGTATAAGTTGCTTTTAGCATCCAAATTTTATTACCATTAATTACTTTTTTGAGAACGCTGCTTTCACAAAATTTTTGTTCAAAAAAAGAATTTTCTTTGAAGCAAAATTTTGTATTAAATTATTTTAGAATACAAGTGGTCAATGCTTATGCATTGCTTGGAAAAGGTTTGGTGACAATACAGGAGGCAGAAACAATAAGTGCCGACATTTTGGTTAAAATAAAAATATTCAAAATCAACAGATAAGATATTTTTGTATCATTTGCTTTAGATATCTTTCATCAAAATAAGTATATACATAGGTTTTCTATATTTTATTTTTTAACAGTCGTTGAAGAGCCGACCCATTTTTTTGGATTTACGACTACTATTGTTCAACTCCGTAGTCTTGTCATTTTGAACCCAATCCAGAAGACAAGAGGACTCCTAGATCAGGTATTGGGAGAAAATATTTGATGGAACTAAATTTGCGTTACATGGAAAGGAAAACCATGAAACCCCGTTGCATGGTTAGACGGCAAGGGGACCCTAGTCCTTGATCCGTCTACCACTGAGGAGATTTTACGTCAGCACTGTGGTTAGTGCATGCCGGATGCGGAATTCATATCGATCAGCCATCGCTAGGATTTGAACCCGGTTCACCTCATTGTAAGGCGAGCGCTCTATCCTCTGAGCCATTGCGACTCAAGAAATAATTATTGCATTTTCCAAATGCATATCGTCCCGCAGTGGACTGATTGTTAAGACACGGTTCCCAGCAGATCACCGAAGTCAAGCATCACTTGCTGCAGTGAGTGTGCGGGTGTGGATTAGTCTGCGTAGAGACCGAGGGTGTGCGGTATGAGTTCTCGTTAAACTGTTCTACAGTAAAGTGCTAGACTTCGCGTGCAGGTGGTCGTGCTACCGAAGTGGGGGTGCCATCTCCTCCGCAGAAGATCAAAATTGCGATGGCATGTCTTCGGATCATCCTCAGGGATGTTTCCCAGACCGTCGCCAATAACCCATGTGCAGCTCTAGTGTGACGCAAATGAACTACAACAACAACCAAATGCATATCCGCAGTAAATTTGAATTGATCATTAACTTGATTACATGAATTATAACAGCTCTTTTCCTCCAGTTGGTACACCTAATAGGTCCTGCCCATTGGTCAGAAAAACTACATTTTCTGCGTAGTCAACTACAACTATTTTATTACAATTTCAGTTAACTATAACAACAACTACTTTTTTTTTAATGTAGTGACTACAAACTACTTTCGAAATGTAGTCACTTCTTCGCGACTTTTAGAAGACAAACTTAACCGGAGAACTTAATTTTCACCAACATTCAAAATGATTTTGAATTAAAACAAAATTGGTTTGGTTATAAATGACGAGATATTGAGAAGTTTTAAATTTCATGAAATGGGTTCTTTTCTGAAGCACTTTTTAAGAATTTGTTCCTTTAACTTTCAAGCTCTATGTTTTTCTCGACTTAAGAAATGCTCAAAGATTTGTGATTTAAGTGATCAATGCTTTTTCATTTACTCCAAGAAATAAAGTAGAATGCGAAAAAAAAAACCACCCTCAATAACTATTGATCCTAATGTTCGGATCTTAACGTTCTAGGACTCAAATGGTTCGAGGAGGTGACGGCAAATATGCAATTAATGCAGACGATTTTTTAAGTTAAGAAATCAGACACAAAAACGTATTGTATAGTTCCTGTGAAATCGAATTTTAAAAAAGTCAGATAATTAGAATTCGATTCCTCAAGAGAAAATCGACCGATTTTTTATAGTATCACACGTAGATTTTATTAACTCTCGGCCACAGAGGCATTCTCATTGCGTACGTTGACGGGCTTACGAAGGATTTGCACCTATTAGATTCGAAAATTCTTTTGCGTTTGAATTTTGTTTCTCTACTTAAGTAACGTTAAACGTAGTTGCCAGGACACGCTACAAAACTACTGTTTTTTTTTTTATTTTTGTATCGCACTGCTCACTTCACTACGTCTTTTGAAAGGTAGCTCACTGCTCTACAAACTACGGGATTAGGTAGCGACTACGGTAGTTTCGTTACTTGTAGCTTGCTTTCCGACCACTGGTCCTGCCTATAAGATTCCATACAGTCGTGGTGGCTCAGGGGATGGAGCGTTCGCCTTCCAATGAGGTGAACCGGGTTCGAATCCTAGCGATGGCTGGTAGATACGAATTCAGCATCCGGCTTGCACCGACCACAGTGCTGACGTGAAGAAGGATCACGGGTTAGAGTCCCTTTGCCTTAGGCTAACCGGAGGAGGTTCTCGTTGTCTTCCTCCAGATGTAACGCAAATGAGGGCTAGTTCCATCAAAAAAGTCCGCCACGAAGGCAAATTTCTCCCCAATACTTGATCCAAGAGTTTCCTTGTTTTCTGGATAAAATTCAAAATGACAAGCCTACGTAGTTGATCATTTAGTGATCGTAAACCCAAAAATTGGGTCGGCTGTTCAACGACGGTTATAAAATAAGATTTCATAAGCATTTCGCTTTAATATCCGAGAGAGAGCAAAATAATACTATCTGGTTTAAATTTAAGTAGTATATGAAAGAACTTTTCTGAAAGGAATCATCTGAAAACTAGCGTCACAATTTTTCAGCTAAAGTTGAGCAAATAGAAATGAAGAAATTCCTTGTGACTCTTCACAAATATGTTAGATGGCAACCGAAAAAGCTAGATAATGCTGCCAAAGCGAAGAAATATCGGCCAGCAATTCTAAATTTAAGTTTTTTGGACGCAGAAACACTAGACGACCTTCCTATTCGTTTGCCCCACGTGACTTGTACGAAAATGGGGTGCCATTCGGAAGATTCTCTTTCTGTCTTACCCAGCTCCCTTTGCGATTCTTTCGAACAACCCCAATTCGGAATAAAACGATTCATTTGCAAAAAGTCGTTTGTGTGTCTTCTTCGCTCCCTTGTCTGTGACTTGCACAAGTCGGATTCATCGCAAAAATGGTAAATAAATATTCCATTTATTTTTTTTCTCTCTCTTATTTTTACAAATAAATTCAGTCGAATTTATGAAAATAAATATTCGATTTATTTTTTCTTCTTACTTTTACCTATAATTTATAGTAAAATTTATGAAGAAAAAAATATTCGATTTACTTTGTTCTCTGATTTTTACATATAATTACAGTCGAATTTATGAAAAAACTATTCGAAATATTTTTTCTCTTAGTTTTACATATAATTAATTGCAATCGAATTCATGAAATAAATTTTCGATTTATTTTTTCTTCTTATTTTTACCTATAATAACAGTCGAATTCATGAAATAAATATTAGATTTCTTTTTTTTTTTGTTTGTCTTTATTGCAATATTTCAATTATTTTCATTTTGTCATTTTCATTAATTTGCAATAAAAATTAAAGAAAAATATTATCTATATTTTTTCTAATTATAATTTCAGTTATTGGTTCTTTTAATTATTATTTAAACACTAAAAACAAGAGAAAAGTCTAGAATTTCTACGCAATTGTAAAAATTATATAGTTTTACAAATAATTAAATAAATTGTACAAAATGTTATTTTTTATATAGAACAAAATTTTATTCAACAATATGTGTAAAACCTATAAAAAAATAGTTTATATTGTAATTTAAAAAATTGAGCAAAAAAAATTAATTATAAAAATAAACCAAAATGTAATTCATTTATAAAATGGTTGAATCCTACTATAGTACTCGTTAGATTAATATCAAAAATATTAATATTTAAAGTTTTAATTTCTTCTTCCCTTTTTTTTCAAAGAAACTATAATTTTATAACCTTTTCTTTTAAAAAAAATGTGAAACAGAAGTTTCAAAAAAATATAAAATCATATTTTTTAACGTAAAAAATAACGTGCTCTTATTTTTTAATTGATAGAATTTTGTTGATGTAAAAACTTCATGATGTATTTTACTATTGAGATATAATAATTAGCAAATATTTGACATTTTTTGTATTTAATGAATTTTCTAATGATTATACTTCTTAAGCAAATCATTTTAAATAAATAGCTTTAAGCCGTGATGTCTCAGGTAATAGAGAGTTCGCTTTCCAATGATTTGAACTGGGCTTGAATCCCAGCGAAAGATGGTCGATACGAATTACGCATCCGGCTTGCACCGATCACAGTGCTGACGTGAAATATATTCAGCGGTAGACGGATCATGGGTTAAAGTTCGCTTGCCGTCTGGCTAACCGGAGGAGGTTCTCGTGGTCTTCCTCTACATGTAAAGCTAGTTCCATCAAGAAGGCAAACTTCTCCCAATACTTGCTCCAGGAGTTCCCTTGTCTTCTGGATTGGGTTCATAACTGCAAGGCTACGGAGTAGAATATTAGCAATCGTAAACCCAAAAAATTGAGACTGCCGTTCAATGACGGTCATAATATAATAAATATATGTTGTTGCTGTTATTTTAAAAATGTTAATTTGTAGTTCTCAGTTTAAAAAAATGGTTTTTCACAATTATATTTATTTACAGTCATTCTTAGATGAAATAAATATAATAAAGACAATCACGTTCATATATTGTTTACATATTGTTTTCCTTAATTGACTGTTATTGTTTACCATTGTTTTAATCATGAGGAAAATTCTATTATAAATTAAGTTGCTAAAAGCGACAGAGATTTATTTATTGTTAAAATTGTAAACTTGCATTGTTATCCAGGTCTCTAGATATTCATTAACTAGAAGATATAAAAGGAAAATATTGCATTTGCCGTTTAAAAAAAATAATCCCTTTTTAATACTAATATTAATGAAAAACTCTTTCATACATAAAAAAAAGAAGCACAACGCTGCTTACCACTTAATTTAAAGATGTATTTATTGCTCGTGTAGTTAAAGTTGATTTTTATGATATTTTATTTCTTCACCTCATAAACAAAATCATTTATGCGACAAATGTGCTGTGATTCATCTAAAAAAAGTAAGAATACCAGTATTTTTTAAAGCTATTTATTTCAAATGATTAGCTTAAGAAGTATAATTATTAATGTTAAAAAATTTTAATTTCATTCAATACAAAAAATGTCAAATATTTGCCAATTATTATATCGCAATAGTAAAATAGCATCATGAAGTTTTGACATCAACAAAATTCTATCAGTTTAAAAATAAAAGTACGTTATTTTTACTTGAAAAAATATGATTTTATATTTTTTAAATACTTCTGTTTCACATTTAAAAAAAAATTATAAAATTACAGTTTCTCTGAAAAAAAGGAATAAAACTTTAAATATTAGTATTTTTTGTATTAATCTAATGTGCACTGTAATAGAATTCAACTATTTTATAATTGAATTACATTTTGGACTATTTTTATTAATTAATATTTAGCCCAATTTTTTAAATTACAATTTAAACTGTTTTTTTTTTAATATTTTGCACTTATTGTTAAATAAAATTTTGTTCTAGATCATAAATAACATTTTGTGCAATTTATTTAATTATTCCTAAAACTATTAATTTTTACTATTGCTTAGCAGTGTCTAAAGAATAATTAAAAAAATATATGGAATACTTTTCTTCAATTTTTATATCAAACTTAATTTCTAAATGCAAATGACAAAATGAAAATTATTGAAATATTGCAATAATTGAAGAAAAAAACTAATATTTATTTCACAGACAACAGTTTGAATTGAAAGGAAATTAATTTCCCTCCCATTATTAAGTTATTAGCATTTAAAAAGTATTATTATTATTAAATTTTTTTTTTTTAATTTTCAATTCCTCGGAAAATATATCAGTGGTAAACGGGAAACAATTTCCTCATTTTCATCATTCTTATTTACATGCAAAAAAGTAAATAAAAATAATATGTTTTTTTAATCAACAAAAGTGTTGTGATCGACTTATTACGATCACTGGTCAAATGTTTTTTTCCTTTCTGGATTGACTCCGTTAAACATTTCAAACATTCATGGGTTGCAAATCACTGTCTCTCTTTGATGTTTGATTTCATATCCTTGCCTATGTACCTGTTTCAACAAAATAGTTTTGCCTCTTCAGTATTCATATTTATATTAAAATCACCATCAATCACAGTCATTATACGTTAATAATAAGAAAGAATATAAAAATACTTTAAATTATTATTATGTAAATACATTAAAAAGACCTGCTGGTGAAAATAAAAAAGAAAAACAGCAGCGGTCGCCATAGCAACGCATGCAATGACGACGCATGCGCACTGTTTACTATTACTCTTGAACACAGTTGAAAAGTGAGTGGACGCCATCAAATCCAAACTAAGATCCATTCCGCCAATGGGTTATAAATTTAATAAAATTCTAACCATCCCTGTTGACAGTGAGATTATAATTTGAAAAGAAATACATCTAAGTAAACCACATGAGCAAAAAATTATGATTAACAACTATGAAGTATTCATTTCTAAAACGGCAACTGAAGGCCACATTCTGAAATGTTTTGATACTTCTGATTATGTGGCTCTGATGACACGATTTCCATGAAAACAACAAAATGTTTCTCTGAGTCGTGATGATTCAGGGGGTAGACCGTTCGCCTTTTCAAGCAGGTAAGCCTGGTTCTAATCCCAGTGATGGCTGGTTGATATGAATTCCGCATCCGACTCTCACCGACCACAATGCAGACGTTAAATATCTTCGGTGGTGACTGATCATGAGTTAGAGCCCCCTTGTAGTCAAGATTACCATGGGAGGTTTTCGTTGATTTCCTCTCCGTGTAACGCATATACGGGCAAGTTCCATGAAAAAGTCAATTTTTTTCAAATACTTGATTTAGGATTTCCCTTGTCTTCTGGATTGGGTTCTAAATTATAAGGATACGGCTGTTTTACTACGAAATACAAAATTTTTTGGATTCGAACCCGTATCACCTTATTGGAAAATGAGCGCTCAATCCCCTGAGCCATCACGGCTCGAACGCAACGGATTTTCGAATGTAAGGGAGTGTACTTCAAACTAAGCAACCAAACTTTAGAGAGTAGGTATAGTTTGTCTACGGCAAGAACTACCCCCGCAACAAAGTCTGAGACTGTCTGCTGCTATGGAAACAAGAATGGTGCATTTCAAGGAGGGAAGCTTCTCTTCACTCTAAGGTGGACGTAATAGACTGAAGTAAAAGATTCCCCTTTCGCCGACTCCAGCTAAAACCTGTCCTAAACATAAACCCTACACCCCCACTTGAAATATTTATACCTCGTTATCATAGTCACCGCCACGGGTCCAGATGAATGGATAGGGGAATTCTAACTTTAGACAAACTATAGGTGGACTTCTGAATTCAGTAGATAAATGTGTTTGCGATGAGTTCTAAAAATGAATGACCCTAAGGACCCAATTCAATATTTTTGATGGTTTTCCATTGATGGACCTACATAATCTTGATGGAAATCATCATTGATTCCATCATGAATCATTATAATTTTTTATGGTAACCAACATAAGTAATCATTACCTCAATATAGGAATTCGGATTGATTTATGATGGTCCAACATAAGAATATCAAATTATTTTAATGGTTTGTTCATGTTGAGCCATCACGAATTTCCATCATAGTATCTTAGAAATCAATTGTTGGAACGATCATGAGCAACCATCATCCCAATGTAGGAATTCGGATTGATTTATGATGGTCCAACATGAGAAACCCAAATTGTTCCGCTGGTATATTCCTGCTGAACCAACAAGAATTTCCATTAAACCATCATGGAAATGTATAGTTGGAAACATCACGGATCATCATCGATTGTTGGTCCATGAGAGTCAATCTTCTCTTGATGGTTAACCATCATAGTATCAAAGTGGCACTTTCCATCATGGAATGATGGAAGTTTGTCTGCATATCAAAAACCATAAACTCATAATGGAAAACGTTGGATGTTAGTGACCATCAAATGATGTTGGACCATCGTGAATCGCACTGAAACCGACATAAACCATCAAAACGATTTGATGGGACCATCAAGATATTTGATTTGGTTTGAGTCATTTCCCGTGATTGGGCTTAATTTTGGGAAAAAGGCTGTAAGGACTGACAATCTATAGGAATAAAAAATAATTTTAAAGATGAACGTATAATTCACTAATTTTTTCTTTCTTTTTTTCTACATAGGTTGAGGAACTGAGTAAAGAGCAAGTTGAAAGTAAGTATTGTTTTCTGTATTGACTTCATAATTACTGTATTGACTTCATAATCATTCAATGTTTATAGTTGTTTCTATCACTAAAATCTATTCAAAATGAAAAAGTTTTCGTTCGCTCGGTTTCTAAAATCAATGATCAATAATGTCCCGCAATCCAAATAAAATTTGGACAAGAATACTTTAGTACACTTTCTGACCAAAAGAATCCGAACACCCAGTTGTTAGGGTAGAGGAAGCATAATAAAGTGTGGGGGGGGGTTCTCCTGGGGGTACTTATATCTTCCAAGTCCCTCAGTGGACTGATCACCAAGACACGGTTCCCAAAGGCAAGCAACACTGCCCACGGTCCGTAAGTGGGTGGGTGACCACTTTGATTAGCCTGCGTAAGGAACGAGGGTGTGTGGTATCGGTCCTCGTTAAACTGTTCGACCGTGAAATGCTCGACTTCGCTCACAGGTTGTCGGGCTGCCAAAGCAGGGAGTCCTCCCCTCTGCAGAGGATCGAAATTGTGACGGCGTTTCTTCAAATCATCCTCAGGCATGTTTTTCAGACCGTCTACCGTAGCCCATTGAGCAGCTCTAGTGCAACGTCAATAAAGTACTTATCTCAAATTCAGATATCCCTTCATTTCGTTAAGCTCAACATATTAATAAAATGCGCTTACATAAAAACTTTAATAAATACATATTTGATAAACAAAATTATCCGTTTTTTTATCAACTTCTAAGAAAACATAGTGAGTAAGAAGTAACTAACGAGTGGAACTAATAGTGAACAAAGTAATGTAACAAAAAGTTCAACAAAAAAAAGTTCTTTTTTTAGCAAAATTAAAACAAAATTTAACCAAAAATTTAACACAATTTAGGATTTTTTTAAAAATGTAATGCTTATCAATGTACTTGTATCTGATAGCATGCAGCCGGTGTTTTTTTCCCTTCCTGTTTATGAATGAAATTTTAGCAGATGAACATGTTTTTACTTAGTTTAAATTATAATTCACTACTATTTTTTAATCTTTTGTCGCAGTTGCACATTAAGTCAGCTAGGGATATTTAAACTAATATTTTCGCAAAATACACTTGGGGATGGATTTTTTCCCCTGACAAATGATCAAAATGGCGATGTAAAGAGCTAAAAACAGAATGAATAGCCCATTCACTTCTTAATTTTTTCGCCAGTAGCTTATTGATTGCAATTTAAGTTCTGGTAAAACAGAGTGTTCATATAAATGAATCGGATCGAGCAACGAAATGGTTAACTAAAATATTTATTCCTCGCTGCCAACCATTGGAAATAAAAAAAAATATTATGAAAACGCTACTTTATGATTATTTAAAAGTTCTAAATTCTAGTTTCTCTTCTAAAATAATTTCTTTAAAATTTGATATTAAATAATAAAACTTCAGTTAGTTTTCAACTTAAAATGTATTATTAATACATTTTAAGTTGTATAAATAATATGTATTAATAATACATTTTGTAATGTATTTGTATAAATGTAAATACATTATTTTTCCTTAAAAAAGCAATCAATATCATTAAAAAAAAACAAAAGAAAAAAAACAGTAGCATATCTTTAAAGAAGAAGAAATTTAAACAGCGAAATACTTAATAAAGAAGCGCTGGAAAAATACATCAGGTAAGAGTGTCCTCATACATATTACCGTAAATAACCGAAATCAAGAAAATGTCAACTTTCACGATGTCAAAGTCAATGTCAACGCATAGTCGCCCGAAATATTTGTTATATCCGATTTAATATTAATATTTTGATTGCTATTATTACATTTATTCGGTATTTTAATATCTTTTAAACTTTACATGGTGGCCCAATTTTTGAATGGTAATTTTTTTTCTAAGAATCATAGATTTCTTAGAAAAAGCTTTTTGTTTTTAATCGCACATTTTTTGTAAATTGCATTTTTGTAAATTTTTATAATTTTAAATAATTTTATTTTTGTATTTGTAAATATGCATTAAATATATTATATAGGTGCAATACAAATAAATTAGATGGGTATTAAAGCGAAAGAAAATTATTTTATGCCTCATGATTTTAAGTGTATTGGTTTCATGCAGAGTTGGCTAGTTTAAACCATTGTGGTTTGAGCCATAAACCAAACGTTTTTCTTTTAAAAATTTGTTAATTTTAATAATTTTTTTTTAATATTGTATATGAATACTTTTAATTAGACAATATGAAACTTTTTCACATTTTTTTTTAGTTTTGAGTTTAAGTGCTAAAGTAAATTTGTCTAACTATAAATAAACGTAAATATGTCATTTTTAAATGTTTACGCATCATTTGCTTTCATGAAAAACACTTTCTCTGTAGAACACTTTCATGTTACGAAAGTTTTGGGCTCGTTAATGTCTCTAAAACTGCTTCACAAGTGTTAAATAACCATAAAAGAACGTTTAAAATAGTTAATTAAGACTCTGCGTTTTGCCTAGTTATATATTTAATTATTTTAAATAGCTTCTGTGGTTTTGAAAATTATTAACGAATTATTGAGGATTATAAATGATTACCAACTCAATTTTTATTAAAAATACACTCGTTTAACCTACTTTGATTTAATTAATTCTCCAACTTAACGAATATTTTTTCTGGTCTGACGAAAACGGTGCTAAAGTGCTCTTTTTTAACGAATTTTTAGCTTTGCTTTATAGAACAACACTAGCAGGAAAAAACTTCGCACATAAAACTAAAACTATGAATTTTTCGCACTTACAATTTTGAATATTTCGCACCTTAATCTGAGTGAGTAATTATTTTTATAACTTATAATTTCCTAACGTATAACTTATAATTTTTAAGCTCGAAGTAAAACAGTAATCATTTTTTTCTTATATCTGTATATATAAGGGTAATTTGCATCGATAGTTGCCCTTTACAAAAATTAATATTCGATTTAACGAACGGATGTGTCGGTACCATTCAATTCGTTAAATCGAGGTTCAACGGTAACTTAAAAATAATGAATTGTATGTACGTGATTGTAGCTCGATTTTTAAATAGTATGACATGTTATAAAACATTTTTGTTATAGAGCCGGTTTAGATCGTTTATATTTTCAAAACTGTTTCTACAATTTCAAATATTTCACTTAAATTAGACTTTATTTTGGAAATAAACGAAACGTTACACCGATATTTTAGAACTACTTTTGAAAATCGTAAACATACAATTATTTATACTTTTATCAAAATGCCTGGAATGTAATCTAAGAATATACACAGAGTCTTTTCTGATGTGTTTCAGAAATATTTCATTATAACTTATTAATACTTTCAGAAGTATTTGTAAAATGTAACGTAGGAAAATAAGAAATTTTGATCTAGCTTAGCATGCAAATATACATATATATATATATATTGGAAATTCGAGCTTATTATAAAAAGCCTAAGGAAATTACCTAATGTCCCTAACCTACCTAATAATTACCTAATGGAACCTGAGGGAATTATTATCAATACTTTCAGAAATGTTTGTAAGATGTAACGTAGGAAAATAAGAAATTTTGACCTAGCTTAGCATGCAAATATATATATATTGGAAATTCGAGCTTATTNTCAAAATGCCTGGAATGTAATCTAAGAATATACACAAAGTCTTTTCTGAGATGTTTCAGAAATAGTATTTCATTATAACTTGTTAATACTTTCAGAAATATTTGTAAAATGTAACGTAGGAAAATAAGAAATTTTGACCTAGCTTAGCATGCAAATATATATATATATATTGGAAATTCGAGCTTTTTGTAAAAAGCCTAAGGAAATTACCTAATGTCCCTAACCTACCAAATAATTACCTAATGGAACCTAAGGGAATTATTATCAATACTTTCAGAAATGTTTGTGAGATGTAACGTTGGAAAATAATGCATTTTGTTTGTTAAATGAAGTATTTCAAAAATAAAATGCAAAAAAAAGAGAAGCTTTTTTTAAGCAAAAGGGAGCAAAGCTTTGCGTGGGTTTAACACGATCTCTCAGGTATTTATAGAAGTCGGTCCTCCAACATCAACTGTGGATAAAGTTTTATTTCAATAAATATGTCATATTCATTCACATTCATTAGATGGGATGTCTACCATTTTTGATTTACGTTTACAAAATTTAAGAAAACTTTCTATGATTAATAATACATTTAATAAACTGTATTTAAAATGCTCGTTGTTTGTAGCAAAGATCTAAAATGCTGATACATTCTAATTAATATCAAAAGAAGAAGCGAAACAAAAATTATTTTAGTTATTAAGAACAAATTCCTGCAGGATAAAACGCGACATAAAAGAATAATTAAGGCATAGTATAAAACGTGGAATACAATAATGGAAGTGAACACTTTTCGCAAGAAGCACTTGGAGGATTATTTAAGAGATGTTTAGAACTTCTCCTAAATAATCCTCTAAGATGTTTAGAACTTTGCATTTGTTTACTCTCCTGTATCCATGGGTTAACATTGTAATGCAATACGTTAAAAATAAATACAAATAGGAAGTATATAAAAAATCGGCTGACCCATTACGTGTATGTTTAAATAGAAAAGTATTGCGTAGAAAAATCGTGCAAAACATGTAACTATTAAAAATCTACAGTGCGTCTAATAATTTAATATAATTATTATATTATACTAATATAATACCTGATATAATAAATATTCTATATTTATATAATATATGGTCTAATTTAGCCTATCGTCTAATTTATATTATCTATCGTCTTATTTAACCAATGGATAGACGAACGTAAACAAGTGCAAACTGGTTTCAGTCACGTAAAAACAATAAAGCTGTATAGAATCGCCTGATAATTAAGATTTTACATAGAATCTTATAGTGGGTGTAATAATTTGGACAGGGACTCTATGTTCAATATCGCAAAAAAAGATATTGTACGATATTGCAAAAAATGGTTGTGGAATGTGGATCGATATTTCTCAACATTTACAAACGTTATAGAATGACGAACGACATCGGCAACACAATATTCAAAAAAACGAATGTTGTGGAATACTGGCAATCACCATAATTGCGTTATTCGTAAAAATAAAAACTAGTATATGAAAATTTTCTTATCTTTTATTGTATTTAATACCTTTCCTGTCTTTTAAAAGAATAATTTTTATTTAAGAACTCAATATAGTTAAAGATTAAAAGTTTTACAAGGAGCCTTTCACCGTGACATCGATGAGAATTGTACAATATGGCACATTCATTGATGATTTTCTCCGATATTGACAATGTCGGTCGATATATACAGTCGGACTTCTATTTAACGAACTTTTGCGAATTTTTCTATTTTGCGATTTTTTTTCAAGGAACCAAGAACATTTTGGAAATTTTTTTCGCAAAATAACTTCCAAATAGCGAAGTGAATTTTCCATTTCATGAACTTTTCTTTGAGATCCAAAATATTTCAAACTTGTTAACGCATTTATGAGCGAAATGAATTGATTTTCGAAGCCCTTTCACTTTTAGAAAAAGCTGAAAAATCCCTTTTTATTTGCATTCCAAATGAAAAATTCAACAAAATGAACTGCTTTTATCAGTAGCTATTAAACTTTGTGGTAATGTACGTTTAAAATTACTTTTATTATAAATGCAGCTGTAATTTTATACATAAATTTAGCTTTTTTTGGGGTTGAAAATGCATGTTGGATGCAGATTTCTTTTAGGGTTAAGATTTATAAAATAAATCGTGGATGCTAGTTTACAAGATGAAGGTGTGTATCCATTGCCATTTTAATTACATACAGTGTTTACGAACTGAAGTCCTGTTTTGTGTTGCTTAAGTACAGTCAAACCCCGTTATAGTGAACATGGTTTATAGTGAACTCCCGGATATAGTGAACGAAATGTTCGCTCCCGTGCCTTGCTATACATATATGATATTATTTTTTGTGGATATAGTGAACCAAAATAAAGAGGAAATTGGATATTATGAACTTTTTTTCTTCGTTTTTTGGTCATTTTTAAATGTCTACATACAGTACATATACTGATTTTTAAACGAATTTACCATATAACGTACTTATTATCGGGCGAATTCGCTGTATAGAGGCCTGATTGAATTAAGGCTGTTACTTGTGCTACTTTTGATAGTGGAGGCAACAAAAAAAAACGAAGAATTGTAGCTCGCCAAACCTCAGTTTAGAAGAAGACTTAGTTTGAAATACCTGAATAAATAACTTCTTTCCGAGAGATAGAGAAAGGACGGGAAGGTGAAAGATAAATATAAATCTACATCTGTTGCCAAATTTGGATCGCCCCAAATGTCTCTCCCGGTTTTGACTTACAATTGTTTCTCACTTCGACTAAAACGACGTTCCTTCGACGCAAGAGATTAAATGCTTCGAATTAAAATTACGCAGTGAAATAACAAACTTTATTTTTACATTATCATTAAACTTGATCTACAAATGGGTTTTAAATACAGGGTTGCCGCAGAAAAAGAAATTAACAAAATAGTTGCTTTTAGTTGCCTAAAGCATGAAAATAGTTGCCGGAAACTATGAAAATAGTTGCCTAAATAAGAACAAAATTCATATTATACCATGATCCAAAGAACAAATTTTCAGCAAAAATAAGACTAAAATTTTATGAAATGACTTAATTGTCATATTATACCATGATCCATTTAGTCAAGTGTGAGGGAAATATGACCATTTTTACATAAACGTTTGTGTTCTAGCATTAAATTTTTATATCAAAAAAATTAGTACATTTACAGATAGTCAAATATTTTTAATTACTAAAATTCATTCAAAAAATACTTTTTCATTAAAGAAAAATATACTTCTATTAATAATTAATAAAAACATACAAACATATTTTTATGAAAGAAAACATACTTTTATCAATAATTGATTAAACAAATCAATATATATATATATATATATATATATATTGATTTGTTTAATCAATTATTGATAAAAGTATGTTTTCTTTCATAAAAATATGTTTGTATGTTTTTATTAATTATTAATAGAAGTATATTTTTCTTTANTATATATATATATATTGTGATTACTCGAGTTAATTCGAAATTCACACATCGTAATATCGTATTAAAAATTGGGTTTTTTAAAAATCAGGTATAATTTTGTAGCAATAACCATTAAGAAGGTGATCGAGAAACGAAATAGACTTATGATGGAATCTGTGCAAATTGAGTGCATCAAAAAGCGATTACTCAAATTTGAAATTCAGAATTTTTAACATTTATTTTTTAAGAAAAGAAATTCAGTTTGTTCAGAAGATTCCACGGGGGCCGCAGGTTTTCAACCCAATTTATGCTAAAAAAACATCGCTAGGAGAACAGAAAAGTCTCCTTTTCCAGAAAATAGTTGCTTTTTTAGCCTTTTCAGGAAGAAAAAAAAGTTGCCATAGTTGCCTCATGCTGAAAATAGTTGCAACTAGTAGCATTTTAGTCGCCTGTGGCTACCCTGTAAATTATATTACTGTTTGATTATCAAACAAAAAGTTGTTGTCAATTTCATCACTTCTGCTGTAAATTATAATATTTTATATTATTTCACTTTTTTTTCAATCATAATATTTTGAATTTCATTCTAAAATATCAAGATATCTATTGAAGATGCCTACTGATTGATTGTGTGATGATCATGATTGATTGTGTGATATTGACATAGCCTTTACCCATATTTTATTTTATAACCGTCGTTGAACGCCTTTTTTGGGTTTTCGACAACTCATATTCAACTCCTTAGCCTTGTCATTTGGAACCCAATCCAGAAGACAAGGGAACTCTTGGATCCATCAGTGAGAGAGATGTGTCTTCGTGGAGGACTTTTCGATGGAACTCACCCGCATATGCGTTACATGGAGAGGAAACCCTTCCACGGTTAGCCTAACGGCGAGGAAACTCTAACCCATGATACAACTGAGGATATTTCAGTTCGGCACTGTGGTCAGTGCAATCGCTTAATGAGGACAGTTTCCTGATCTTTAAAATAAGTGCAAAATAGTTTAGACGAGAGAGAAATATTTGGATACTAAATGTAATTAAAATATTTGCTCACTCGAAGATTTTGAAACTCGTTCATATTCCATGTAAAAATTAATATTTATTTCTTATTTTTTATCATTTAATTTAGCAACTGTCGAAAAAAGTTAAAAATAAAAAAGTCAAAAATATTTGAAATTTAAATGTGTCATTTTAGCAGGCAAAATCCAAAATTCGAAAATCATCTGTTGAATAATTCTTGAAAAAAAAAATGTTTAAAAATACCACACATTTAAAATTTTATTATTCGGAAACTATTCGGTCCACACACATCTTGCATTGCGTCAATTAAAACGACATACTTAAAATGAAGTAAAAATGTGTGTATTTTGCAATTCACACTTTTCCGACCATTATTAAAAAACATAAATAAAAAATAAGTAACCGTAAAAAGTTATCAGTTGCGTGCAATAATTTTTGAATGCAAGCGTTTTATAACTGTGCGTAAAAAATTTCATTTCTTTTTGAAACTTTCCGAGATGAAGCGAAATTTGAAAAAAGTGATATCAATCTAAAGGATCTCTTTTCCGAACTATTCTGACCCTATTTCCTATGGTGTCTATATATTAAGGGGACCGGAAAATAGTGTCGTTTCGGTACATTTGATATTTGTTATCGAGATTTTATTTTTAACCCATAATGTATTCAGCCTCGTTAGCAACAACCTTTTGATGACGAATCGAAAAAAATGAGTTGGTTTTCAAAACTAACGAACATTTAATGCTCCTAAACGACATTACTTTCCGGTCCCCCTAATATATATTCTCCCCTATGGGCTATCATCTGTATCCTTCGAGAAAAAAAAGGTACGTTTCTAGGAGACGCAAATTTTTTTTAAAGAAGTGTAACGTAATTGCCTCTATTAATTTATTTGCCTATTTCTGATGAGTCTATCGTATTACTTTTTTTGATATCATGATTCTTTTTGCTTACTCTACAGTACCTGGCCAAACGATTAGACGCACTCTAAGATTCTATGTAAAATTATAACTATCAGGTGATACAGCTTTATTGTTTTTATGCGACTGAAACCGGTTTGCACTTGTTTACGTTCCGTGTATCAATGGGTTAAATGAGACGATATATTATATAAATTCCACGATAGGATAAATGAGACGAAATATTATATAAATATAGAATATTTATTATATCAAGCATTATATTAGTATATTATAATAATGAGATCAAATTATAAGACACATTGTAGTTTTTGAATAATGACATGTCTTGCACGAGTTTATAGGCAATACTTTTATATTTAGACATGCATGTAATGGGTTTTTATGCTGGAGATTTTTTATAGACTTCCTATTTGTATTTATGTTTAACGTATTGCATTACAATGTTAACCCATTGATACACGAAAGTAAACAAGTGCAAACAGTCTGTGTAAAATCAATAAAGCTGTATAGAGTATCACCTGATAATTAAGATTTTACATCGAATCTTATAGTGCGTCTAATAATTTGNATACACGAACGTAAACAAGTGCAAACAGTCGGGTGAAAAAAATAAAGCTGTTTAGTATCACACCTGATAATTAAGATTTTACATAGAATCTTATAGTGCGTCCAATAATTTGATTTAATTATTATATTAAACTAATATAATACCTGATATAATGAATATTCTATATTTATATAATGTATCGTCTGATTTATCCAATCGTCGAATTTATATTATATATCGTCTAATTTTACCAATTGATACACGAACGTAAACAAGTGCAAACAGTCGGATAAAAACAATAAAGCTGTATAGTATCACCTGATCATTATAATTTTGCATAGAATCTTATAGAGTGCGTTTAATGATATGGAGTGTACATTTAAAAATAAGAATTTAAGGACTTTCATTCTGTGAAGCGTAGTTTTAAAATTTCTTTGGCTAACATTAGTTGTTATCTTTTTTTTCAGTGTTGAAGAAAGCCTTCGACATGTTCGACAAAGACAAGAAAGGTTCGATTGAGACGACTGTCGTTTCAACCATCCTCAGAACTCTTGGACAGTCCTTCGTAGAAAGTGAACTAAAAGAACTCATAACAGAAATAGACGTCGACGGTCAGTTCTTTGTTTTTAATAATGTCTGAATAATTCATCAATACTTATTCAACATTTCAGTGTCCGAAAACAACAATTGTTTTTTTAAGACTCTTTCCCAGTTGAAATTCCTGATGGTTCCATCAAATCATTTTAAAGGTTTAGATTGGTTTCAATGCTATTCATGATGGTCACCATCATCCAACATTTTCCATGATGCGTTCATGAATTGTGATAGGCGAACAAACTTCCATCATTCCACATTAATAGGATGATGGCTAACCATCAAGAGAAGTTTGATTCTCATGGACCAACAATCCGTGATGATTCAAGGGGAATTCTTGTTGGTTCTCAGACCATCAAAACAATTTGGGTTTTTCTTAATGTTGGCCCATCAAAAATCGGTCCGAATTCCGACATTGGGAGGATGTTGGTTCGTGATCGTTCCAACATTTAATTTCTGAAGAAACTATATTTTGGACCATCATAAATCAGTCCGAATTCATACTTCGGTTGTTACTTATGTTGGTTACCATCACAAAATAGAATGGTTCATGATGGAATTATGGGTGGTTACCATCAAGATTATGTTGGACCATCAATGGAAAACCATCAAAAATTTTGAATTGGATGTTTTTCCTGATCTAATCGGACATTGAAATTTTGAATAAATATTGATGATTTAATTAAATTAATATCAAATCAGATCTAGAATATTCCAAATATTGCACTCACCACAGAGATTGTTGACAGTTCGACATATTCTACATTTCAGTCTTTCGCGGTGAAAAAAAAAAGTTTAAAAAAAGACACAAAAATGTACCTTCTCTGATTAATTATACATTTTTTCGACGGATTCAATTTTTGACCATAAAATATAGGGAGAAGCCATTAGCAGGGAAATAAGGACACAATAGTTAGGTCATGAGAGCAGTCCAAAGTTTTAATTCGTCATTCTTACTTTACTTGCGTATTTCACGATATCTTGATACATTTTTAAGCGAGTTAAAAAAAAAATTTCACACAATTATAAAATTCATCGAGATAAAGATATATGCAAAACATAATTTCAACGTAAATATTTAAATACTTATTATTTTTTAATAATAGTCAAAAAAAAATTTTAATTAAAAAGATATAAAATTTTATAAATCATTTTAAATAACGTAATTTTGCATGGCAAAATACAATATTTGAGTGAAATCGGTCGAATAATTCCTAATAAATGGAATTTTTTAAATTAAATAAAATCGAATATTAAAAGAAGATCCGATGATGAGATCAAAAGTTACTCAGGGAGGTCCGTTTATTAATTTTTTGCACACTCTCCACAATTCGAATGGATGGTGTTTTCTACACTGAGAGCTCTTGACTGCCTATACTTCCGGTTTACTGTCTCCGTTTTATTTGGTCACAACGTGATCATTGTGTTTTAAGACTATCTTAGGCAGTATTTACGTGTATTTGTTACCACGTTTATTGTCTATGTTTAAAAAAGATTCGTTATAAGAGTGGTCATTTGAAGATCTGTCATTTCAAGATGTAAGAATCGTCATTTGAAAAAAATGACACCTATTTCCTCGTCAACACTGTACCAGCTTTGAAATGTAAACCTAAATGATCATTTGCAAAATGAATTCGCTGTTCGAACACTACGCTAACACTAACGTGCGATTCCGTACGGCTTGCAATAAGAACAAACAAGTAAAAAGCGGGCATTTCAGAACAAACAAAAAAGTGAGCTCTCTCTAAATCTAGCAACCCTATATCTCCTTTTTCATCAACACATCTCTCAATAACTAAAACAAATTTTCTTTTTCGCCAGAAAATACTCAGAAACGACACATTTTATTTCTTTTATTAAAAACTAAATTATCTGTTTTAGAATATCGTCTCCAAGAATAAGCTGTGTTAAGCAGCTGTATACTTTGTAACCAGAAGATTGCTGTTGTAGTTTACATTTATATTGAAAACATCATCCATAATTGTTTCAATTACTGACATTCATGATCCTACCCAATTACGTTGGTTTGTTGGTGACAGAATCGGCAATCTTTATTAATTGATCCAATTTCAACTATTTTTTTTCCTTCTATTTTGCAGAAAGTAATATAATTCAAATAAATTACTGACATAATTCAAAGGGCCGTGAAAGCTCAGAGGATAGAGCGTTCGCCTTCCAATAAGGTAAACTAGGCTCGAATTCCAGTGATGGCTGGCCTATGCGAATTCAGCATCCGACTTGCACCAACCACAGTGCTGACGTAAAAATCCTCCGTGGTAGACAGATCATGAGTTAGAGTCCCTTTGCCGCCAGGCTAACCGTGGGAGGTTATCGTGGTTTTCCAACCCATGTAAAGCGAATGCGGGTGAGTTCCACCCAGAAGTCCTCCACAAAGACAACTTTTTCCCAATACTTTATCCAGGTGTTCCCTTGTCTTCGGAATTGGGTTCAAAACGACAAGTTGAACACTAGTAGTAAAAAAAACTTTGAAAGCTCAGCTTGATAGATATTTGCAGAACACAGAAATAAACTTTGAAAGCTCAGCTTGATAGATATTTTCAGAACACAAAAATAAACTTTGAAATCTTTGATAGATATTTGCAGAACACAAAAATAAACTATGAAAGCTCAGCTTGATAGATATTTGCAAAACACAAAAATAAACTTTGAAATCTTTGATAGATATTTGCAGAACACAAAAATAAACTTTGATAGCTCGGTTAGAGTGAAATCTCGGAGTATTCTACTGTAGTTGAAGAATGAATGTTTTTGTTGACAGGTAGCGGTGAGTTGGAGTTCGATGAGTTCTTGGCCCTGACATCGAGGTTTCTGGTGGAGGAAGATTCTGAGGCGATGCAGGAAGAATTGAGGGAGGCATTCCGTATGTACGACAAGGAGGGGAACGGTTACATCAATGTTATTGACTTGAGGGAAATATTGAGGGCACTCGACGACAAACTCACAGAAGACGAGTTGGATGAGATGATTGCAGAAATTGACACTGATGGATCAGGAACCGTCGACTTTGAGGGTAAGTCTAATACACACGCATTCTCAGATCAGTGATCTATTATGCCCTCATCCAAAAACCTTTGTCTTAAAATTTCCATGACACTTTCTTTTCAAATTTTGTTCAATGTAGTTTTCAGTTTCACGTAGTAAAAGTTTTTTTTATCTATTTGAAAATCCGTTCCGCAGTGAACTGATCGCTAAAACAGGGCTCCCAGCAGATCACCGAAGTCAAGCATCACTGGCTGCTGTCAGTGTGCGGGTGGGTGACCACTTGGATCAGTCTGCGTAGGGACCGAGGATGTGCGGTATGGGTCCTTGTTAAACTGTTCTACCGTGAATTGCTCGAAATCGTAAGCAGGTCGTTGGGCTCCCAAAGAGGGGGAGCCATCCCCTCTGCAGAGAATTGTGATGGCATGTCTTTGGATCATCCTCAAGGACGTTTCCCTGACCGTCGCCAACAGCCCATTATGCAGCTCTAGTGTGATGTAAATAAAGTACCTACGTACCTTAATGAACTAATATTATAAAATTCACTAATATTTCTAAATTCACAAAACTAAAGATTTGTATGATGAATTTGTGAATGTTACTTAATGATGTAAAGAAGCAGCCTGTGAATTATTAGGAACAGTTTCATACATATGAGTTGAAATTGTCTTGAGAAATATTGAACAATTGCAAGTTTTTCTTTCTTTAAATTTCATATTTTAGTATGATGATATATAAAATGATTTGCTTAAGATTTTTTTTATCGAATTTTTAACCAACTTATATTAGCTTGAAAATATAACCAGTATATTGCAAAATTAAGCTGTATATTGATAAATTAACCAGTATATTCCTCAATTAATTTGACGTAAATTAAATTACGTTACGTCGCTTTTTTTGCAGTATTAAAATATTTTCCCACTCATGCTGTCAATACTTTTAATTCAGCACCTCTTCTGTTTGTTTTGTTCTTACATGTGACAGTAAAGATTACCTTCCCATGGAGATTGTTTTCTATGAAACCCTTACATTTTTGTTAACATAACTTAACAGTGCATGAAAAAATAATAAATACTCTCGAAGAGTAAAATTAATATTCACTATAAAATTTTTTAGCAATTATGTTTTGCCTCTTTATAAGGTTGTTCATTACTTTTTTAAAAAGTGACTCACACAAAAGGTTAAAAAAAAAATTCATTTCAAACTGTCATCTCCATGGAAACTGGGTCCCGCAGTGAACTGATCGTAAAGACACGGTTCCCAGCGGAACACCGAAGTCAAGCATCACTAATTCACTATCTGCGTTCAGTAAGCGGGTGGGTGACCACTTTGATTAGCCTGCGGAAGGAGCGAGGGTGCATGGTATGGGTCCTCGTTAAACTGCTCTACTTAAAGTGCTCGACTTCGCGCCCAGGTCGTCGGACTACCAAGCCAGGGAAGCCATCCCCTCTGCAGAAGATCAAAATTGCGATGGCATGTCTTCGGATTATCATCCTCCGGGATGTTTACCAGACCGTCGCCAATAGCCCATTGTGCGACGCTAACCGCTACTATGTAAAGTGGTGAATAAATTAAGACAGCTTCAATGGATTAATTTTCCTCTCCCAAGTCAAAATTCTTGATGGTCCCATCAGAACATTTGGATGGTTTATTTTGGTTTCAGAGAGATTCATGATGGTCCAACATCATTTGATGACCCTCCAACATTTCCAATTCTGTGCTCATGGTGTTTGATATGCCAACAAACTTCCATCCTTCCATGGTGGAAAATCCTACTTTAACGCACTATGATGCTTAACCATCAAGAGAAGTTTGATTCCCATGGATCAACAATCCATGATGGTTTTGTTGGTGCAGCAGGAATATGCCATCAAAACTATTTGTTTTGTATGTTGGCCCATCAGAAATCAGAACAAATTCCTACATTGGGGTGATGGTGGTTCATGATCTTTCCAACATTTGATTTCTAAGAAACTATGATGGAAATGTCTGATGGCTCAACGTAAACAAACTATCAAATTGAGTAGCTGATGTTGGATCATCATAAATCAGTCTGAATTCCTACATTGGGGTGGTGGTTACTCATGTTGGTTACTACCAAAAAAGATAATGGTTAATGATGAAAGTATAGATGGATTAAGATTATGTTGGTCAATCAATCAAAAGTTTTGACATCGGTAGTATACATAGTTGCCTCAAGTTTAAAGCACTGAAATTGTCATATATTTAAGTGACTTTATTTTTCTTTTGCAGAGTTTATGGAAATGATGACTGGTGATTAAATTCAACTTCGAGAGACACTCAGCGAAAGATTTTTCTCAGTGAAGTCAACCATCTTGTTAATAACTGCGACCGATTGCTGTAAACACAACACTTAACATAAATTTGAAAAATTCCTCTTCTCGGTATGAGTTTTTTTGTCCCGTAGAAAAATTATTTTTCTCTTATTTCTTTATTAAAAAATAAATAAACAATAAGAAAAGTCATTTTGGTGGAATCATGGATTATAAAATGACTGAAAACACTGTTCGATCATTGAATAAAACTTATTATTTTTCTTTTCTTTCTTTATTAAAAAATAAATAAACAATGTGAAAACTCATTTAGATGGTATCATGGATTTTAAAATGGCTGAAAACAATGTTCGATCATTGAATAACACACATAATTTTTTCTTTCTCTCTATATTAAAAAAAAAATAAACAATATGAAAACTCATTTAGGTGGAATCATGGATTATAAAATGACTGAAAACACTGTTCGATCTTTGAATAACACACATTATTTTTCTTTTCTTTCTTTATTAAAAAATAAATAAACAATGTGAAAACTCATTTAGGGGGAATCATGGATTTTAAAATGGTTGAAAACAATGTTCGATCTTTGAATAACACATATTATTTTTCTTTTCTTTCTACATTAAAAAATAAATAAATAATATGAAAACTCATTTAGGTGGAATCATGGATTTTAAAATGGCTGAAAACAATGTTCGATCTTTGATTAACACACACTATTTTTCTTTTCTTTCTTTATTAAAAAATAAATAAACAATGTGAAAACTCATTTAGGGGGAATCATGGATTTTAAAATGGTTGAAAACAATGTTCGATCTTTGCATAACACACATTATTTTTCTTTTCTTTCTTTATTAAAAAATAAATAAACAATGTGAAAACTCATTTAGGGGGAATCATGGATTTTAAAATGGTTGAAAACAATGTTCGATCTTTGCATAACACACATTATTTTTCTTTTCTTTCTTTATTAAAAAATAAATAAACAAT